AAATGGCTGTCAGGAGAAGGAGAAAGGAGTTGTTGTACTGTAGTACACCACTGTGGGAGCTTAAAGGGGAAGTGTACACGCAAAAATCACTTTTGATCTTTTTCTAAACAAAACGCAATTTTAGAATTAATTAGTATCTGTGTTTGAAAATATACACTCATTTTTTTCACAGTGAAAGTAGGAAGCTCACAATAGTGTGAAAATGATATGCCGTTATGAGGCCTTCGTTTTTCGAGCTAAACAGGCCTGAGTTATCCCCCTTAGATTATGACGTAATTGGTGCCAATTCAACTGGGTCCCTCTCTATTCTCAACGCAAAAGATATCAAGTACCAGTTTGCGGTAAAACAACATGGCCTACGACACATTCCGGCGCAGTGGTGACTCAGCATAACACTATGCTGGCTGGCATCTGAGACGCTAGAATCACACACCTGTACCTACACCACGTGAAGCGGCTCTAACAAAGCATGATGACGTCATAATGTTTATCAATTGGCACCAATGACGTCATATTGCAAGGGGCATAAGCCATGGTGTTTTTGTTGTGGAAATAGAACACTTGGTAAATGTGAAAAATATAAATCGTTTTAATGCGAAAAATATGTTGATTAATTGTGATATTTTTATATTTTTGTCTATGACACTTTTAGGTTAACACTTTTAATGTGGAAAAAGTACAAGAAAAATAGGTTCATTTCCGTGTGAACTTGCCCTTTAACAAGTTCTCCACAAAACCGCCATTGAACCATTTCTATTCAAAGCCTGTACAACGACAAGAGAGGAGGAAAGGACATATAACCCAGAACATCAAAGTTGCATTACACATTCTCAAGTATTATATATACCATCAATGCCTAATAATAATAGGGGGCACGGGTGGCCCAGTCGTCTAAGGCGCCGCGATTCGCTGTGCAGAGTTGCGTCCTTTTGGCACGCGAGAAAACTATGATTGTGGGTTCGAATCTCGGTTCGCCCCGATTATGTTTTTAGGTTTCCCAACACCATACCCGTGCTCGTGGGTTTCACAGAAGTGGTAAACGTCTGAGACCTGCATCACTTCGGGCTTTCCTCCCACATTAATCTGACACGCCGCGATCTAACTGGAATAGTGTTAAACGCGGCGTTAAACCCAACTCACTCACTCACTAATAATAATATATTTACAAAATGATTTTATTCATGATTGAATCAATAAATGACAGTAATATTCTTTAAAGAAGAACGCCTCCATGATCTAGTGGATAGAGCGTCTGACCGGAGAGCGGAAGCTCGGTGGTTCGATCCCTGGCCGCGTCACACTTTAAGATGGTTCTTGTTGTTACCCTGGCTGACGCTCAGCAATAATTGTACGGCTCGAGGTGAGTATACTCAGTAGGCTGATACTATAAAACCGGCGTCAGTCCGTGCACGCGCATGTACTCTAAGCTCTCTCTGTCTGTCTGTCTGTCTGTCTGTCTGTCTGTCTGTCTGTCTCTCTCTCTCTCTCTCTCTCTCTCTCTCTCTCTCTCTCTCTCCACTTCAACTCACCCGGGTTTTCAATGAAGCGTACGTAAAATTTCGTTCAATACGCTTCTGAGAGAAAATATATCGATTATCAAAACAAGGGAATAACCAGTCTACATTATCCGCCGAAACAGTGGCAAATTAACTGTGAAAACAATGTGAGTGGATCCCTGAAAATTAGGGGTGGGGGGGGGGAATTAAATGTCTCCCTCATTTTATTGTTGCGCATTGTCCTCTAGAAGTGTTGGAATTCAAGGCGTGGACTTTGCTGCTAGTAGGGATTTCTTTAGATCACGGAAGGAATGTCGCTTTATTTAAACTAAGGAGATATTTTGACGAAAAGATAATACACACTTGAAGGAAATGAACCATGCAGATATTTTCCATTCAGTTATTCTCACCAAAGATTGCATTATAGTCTGAAATCACACGAAAGTTTGGAGCGTGAGAAAACGGTTAACCTGGAATTCCTTTTTACTTGGAATTATGTAAATTCACGAATTCTTTTTGTGTGTGTCAAATTCCCTTGTTTTCATTTCGCCAATCCAAACATATATCCTGATTCACACGTTGAAAGAAACATATCACTGAGAAGGGGAGCACTATTGCTGCCTATGGGGATGCCTACTTCTGGCCAAAAATCCTATCATCAAATTTCACATAGATGGCGACTATGCTTGTCGTAAAAGGCGACTAACGGGGTCGGGTGGTCAGGCTCGCTGACTTGGTTGATGCATGTCATCTATCCCAATTGCGTGGATCGATGATGATGTCCATCACTGGATTGTCTGGTCCAGACCGCCGTCATATAGCTGGAATATTGCTGAGTGCGGCGTTAAACAACAAACCAACAGAACAAGCTTTTATTGCATGTAATTTATTTATACCCACTTGGGAGTCCCACTTCTTCTGCATTAGATCGATGTAAGATCTAATGACAGGTTTATAATCACTGTATGGTATAAGAAGTGGAGTCACAAATTTGTCGAGTGCTGCTTTTGCATCAGCATCAGCCATTGTATTACCAACAATTCCAACATGGCTGGGTAACCAACAAAAGACGATGTCGTATTGGCCAGTAGTAAGGTTATTATGTAGTTCTATGATGTCGAGTAAAATTGGATGCCGACACGAAGTGTTTTTAATAGCCTGAAGATAGGAGAGAGAGTCCCTGTATGTTTAGTCTGCTTATTAATATACTAGACACATGGAATATCCTATATATCAAATACTTTTTAAGAAGTTTTCTACCGGAAGTTTAATTATTTCATTACAAATTTAAAAACCTTGAAACGTTTCTCCCTACCTAACACACTGGGACGGTTCACCACCCCTTGTATTTGCGACTAACAAAGTAGTTTCGTGTTTGCAAAATCTTAACAAAACATAAACAAAAGCAACAAAACTCATTTAGGGGCATGAAAGTTCTGTATCACACATTTAGATATGATTATATATAAAATCAACTAATACAGGCTGGTCAAGTAACAAAAATGGCGCATTGCGAAACAAAGAGTCTCGAACAGACGAGTTAAGTGAGAAATTTACAGTGTGTAACGGAACATTTTCAAGAGAATAACAAACGACAAGATAAACAAGCGATATCAACTCCATCAATGGCCATCTGTCATTATCTTGCCTTGGCAATGTGGAACTAACGTAAAAAGGAAGGCAACAATTTGTGTACGGGGTAGATACTTACGATAAAGGCTGACAATTTGAGGGGAGGTCATTCTTGTATGACAATAGTTCCGTCAAAGTGTTGTTTTCACAGAAGTGAAATATCAACAAGCGTATAGTCGACGAAGTCATCTATATCCCCCGCCATTTTAACACGTTATGGTCCTAAACCAGGTAACTGACCCAACATTTCTCTTAGGCCATGTCAAAAGAGCTGCAATGGAAATTCTTAAATACAAATTTATAAAATTCCTAAATAGCAAAAGGCACCAGTTCAGCATGAGTCTGATAGACATGCAAAGTTTCGTAGAGAAATATTTAACAGTTTCTGAGTTATGCTCCGGAAACAATTTGGGGACGCACGCACGCACACACACACGCACACACGCACGCACACACGGACGAAACCCATTTCTATATCCCCCGCCAACTTCGTTGGGGCGGGGGATAATTATCTTCACTGCAAATTTCACATTTCTCAACCTCGGAAAACTCAGTCTTTCCCACTTCAGTATATAATAAAATGATATTAATTTATTTTCTAATGTCACCACGTTCAGAGACAAATGGCCATGGACGAAGGAATGATGGTTTCCCTTTAGGTTGTCTTGTGTAATTATGCTGTACAAAAGTCCAAAGTTGTCTTTGTTTGTTTGTTTATTGTTTAACGCTACACTCAGCAATATTCCAGCTCAAGCCAAAAGTGTTGTGTGGTTTTGGCAGATGTTTTCCTCAGTTGGTTGGTTGGTTGCTTGTTTAACGCCGCACTCAGCAATATTCCACCTATATGACGGCGATCTGTAAACAGACAATCCAGTGATTGACATCATGAGCATCGATCCACGCATTTGGGATCGATGACATGCATCAACCAAGTCAGCGTGCCTGACCAACCGATCCCGTTAGTCGCCTTTTACGACAAGCATAGTCGCCTTTTACGGCAAGCATGGGTTGCTGAAGACCTATTCTACCCCGGATCTTCACGGGTCTCCATGATTAGAAGGAAACGAAACTCAAGATGTATTCTTGACATTTAATAAGGTCAAGGCAATAAATGCTATACTGCCTTCAAGATCATCTGAAATAGTTTGTGTAACATAATGTAAATAACGTTGAATAGTCCACTATATATTCATTGAATTATCTGTATCAATTTGAATGTAAACTACCGGGCAAAAGAAAGTTTCCACCGACTTCACTTGACCAAACACCAAAAACAAAGGCATATGTGAGATTTATGATGATTAATTTATAAACAGAAATAATTTTCCATGAATTAGAATGAAAATGCATTGTAATGCCGATATTGCATTCTCCGCAATACACAAAGAAAGAGTCAAGGGGTCCAAATTAAAAATTACACAAATCAGAGTTCATTGAAAAAGTGCATGAAGAGTCCATTAATGACACAGTAGTCGGGTAACACGTCATCAATAGCGAGTGTGACCACCCTGGGCATCCATGCACGCCAACACACGCCTCCTCATTGACGTCGTCAGTCGGCGGATAACGTCAACAGGAATCCTGTTCCATAAGTTCAATATAGTCTGTTCAAGTTCCTGTCGGTTCGTTGATGGCGGGACATGTTGTTTCAGCTGACGATCAAGATGATCCAAGAGATGTTCAATGGGTTCATGTCTGGAGAACAAGGTGGCCAGGGCAATACGTTGACGTTAACGTTGTTCAGGTAGTCTTGAACAATTCGGGCGGTGTGAGGCTTTGCGTTGTCTTGTTGCAAAATTAATCCTCTTGGCTGATGTCGAATAAAGGGCACCACAACAGGTCTCAACACTTCATCCCTGTATCGCTGAGCATTCAGGTTTCCTCGGATGATAACCAGCCGTGTTGTAATCTGGCCACAAATGCCACCCCATACCATGACGCCTCCACCTCCAAACGGGTGAACTTCTGTAATGCAGTTTTGCCCCAGTCGCTCTCCCCTTCGTCGAAAAACTCGAACTCTGCCATCGTTCCTGAACAGACAGAGCCGACTTTCATCTGTAAAGAGCACTCTCGCCCAGTCACGTCGCTGCCACCGACGTACAGTTCGTGCCCATTGCAGTCTGCGTTGACGGTGTAGACGGTCAAGGCCATTCCACGGAAGGGTCGGTAGGCTCGTATACCAGCCGTACGAAGTCGAAGGACTGTTCGTCTGCTGATGGCATGCCCTAGTGCTGTTGCCGCCGTTGACGTCGCCGTCACACATCTGTTTCGGAGGTGAATCTGCCCGATGTAGCGGTCTTCGGCCGGTGTTGTTACTCTCGGTCTTCCCGATCTTGGCCGGTCTTGAGTCTGTCCTGTCTGTTGGTAGCGGATTATCAACTTGCTGATGGTGGTTTGGGTGCAGTTGAAGGTTCTGGCTATCTGACGTTGAGTAGCCCCCATATTGGCCATACCGATCGCTCTGTCTCGTTGCGCTTGTGTAAGTCTGGGCATACTCTTGGTGGTTTTTTGCTAACTGAATGCCTGCTCTGTCCAACGTCGGTATTTATGCCACAATCACGTACGTGCATTTGGACCAATGCCTTAAAATCACGTTTTGCACGTTTTCAACAATGAATGATTTGGAAAGCTGCGTTCGAAAATCTGTGTTGTGGTTGTGGTCATGTTGCATTTGGGCAAATGTTTTCTGCGGGGGTTCAAACCTGTACCAGCTTTTTGTTTTTTTATACAACTATCTTTAAAGTGAAAACTTTCTTTTGCCCGGTAGTTTTATGTCCTCTTCGTGTGTTTGGCAGATGTCACACTGATAACTATGACTACACATACAGGCAGGTCAGTGATAAACAGAGTGGTCTGCTCACGTTTCCAACGTCTTCCAGTTACACAACCATGAATACGATCTCATCTGTATTGATTAAGTGTCATTGCATGTAAGTCATCGCAACGCGAGAAACATGTTGTTTAACATGTTTGTAAATGGCTTGTAATAGTTTTGATTCATTTTGTGGCCGTCAGAGTTCGATGTCACGCAGTCATCCAAGGCACAGAACGTATGACCATCCGATTCAATAGGTCGCCTAAGAACCTATTCTTACCTGAATTTCCAACTGGGCCAAATATTAAACATACCCCCACGATCGTGGACTGATCTTGTACAATGTGTTTATGTTTGTTTTGTTCGTTTAACGCCACACTGAGCAATATTCCATCTATATGACGGGGACCTGTAAATGGTTGGTTGGTTGGTTTGTTGTTTATCGCCGCACTCAGCAATATTCCATCTATATGACGGGGACCTGTATATGGTTGGTTGGTTGGTTTGTTGTTTAACGCCGCACTCTGCAATATTCCATCTATATGACGGGGACCTGTAAATGGTTGGTTTGTTGGTTTGTTGTTTAACGCCGCACTCAGCAATATTACAGCTATATGACGGGGACCTGTAAATGGTTGGTTGGTTGGTTTCTTGTTTAACGCCGCACTCAGCAATATTCCATCTATATGACGGGGACCTGTAAATGGTTGGTTGGTTGGTTTGTTGTTTTACGCCGCCCTCAGCAATATTCCATCTATATGACGGGGACCTGTAAATGGTTGGTTTGTTGGTTTGTTGTTTAACGCCGCACTCAGCAATATTACAGCTATATGACGGGGACCTGTAAATGGTTGGTTGGTTGGTTTGTTGTTTAACGCCGCACTCAGCAATATTCCATCTATATGACGGGGACCTGTAAATGGTTGGTTGGTTGGTTTGTTGTTTTACGCCGCACGCAGCAATATTACAGCTATATGACGGGGACCTGTAAATAATCGAGTCCAGACCAGACAATCCAGTGATTAATATCATGAGCATCGATCCACGCGATTGGGATCAATGACATGCATCAACCAAGTCAGCGAGCCTGACCACCCGATCCCGTTAGTCGCCTTTTACGTCGAGCCGAGTAACCTTTTACGGCAAGCATGGGTTGCTGAAGACCTATTCTACCCCGGAATCTTCACGGGTCGACCTGTAAATGATCGAGTATTGAACAGAAAATCCAATGATTGACATCATGATTGTCGATCTACGCAATTGGGTTACGATGACATGCATCAACCAAGTCTGTGTTAGTCGCCTCTTACGACAAACATAGTCGCCTTTCACAGCAAGCATGGGTTGCTGAAGACCTATTCTACCCCGAATCTTCACGGAGACAAGCATGGGTTGCTGAAGACCTATTCTACCCCGAATCTTCACGGAGACAAGCATGGGTTGCTGAAGACCTATTCTACCCCGAATCTTCACGGAGACAAGCATGGGTTGCTGAAGACCTATTCTACCCCGAATCTTCACGGAGACAAGCATGGGTTGCTGAAGACCTATTCTACCCCGAATCTTCACGGAGACAAGCATGGGTTGTTGAAGACCTATTCTACCCAGAATGTTCACGGAGACAAGCATGGGTTGCTGAAGACCTATTCTACCCCGGATTCTTCACGGGACATTTGTACAGTGTGAGAAACACGGCTGTTCTGGTTGCCTTCCACGAACACTAAACTCCCAACTTAGATCAGAAATATTTTGGACTGATCTAAAAACATGAGGGATAACTGTTAAATTCTGAGTCTCACTTAAAGGACTGGTGTTTATGTGTCCAAGGTGAGGTTCAATACCAGATCATTCCCCACTTGTGTTAATGTCTCTAAGGTGAGGTTCAATACCAGATCATCCCCCACTAGTGTTAATGTCTCCAAGGTGAGGTTCAATACCAGTTCATCCCCAACTGGTGTCAATGTGTTCAAGATGAGGTTCAATACCAGATCATCCCCCACTGGTGTTAATGTGTCAAAGGTGAGGTTCAATACCAGATCATTCCCCACTGGTGTTAATGTGTCAAAGGTGAGGTTCAATACCAGATCATCCCCCACTGGTGTTAATGTGTCAAAGGTGAGGTTCAATACCAGATCATCCCCCACTGGTGTTAATGTGTCAAAGGTGAGGTTCAATACCAGATCATCTCCCACTAGTGTTAATGTGTCTTAGGTGAGGTTCAATACCAGATCATCCCCCACTAGTGTTAATGTGTCAAAGGTGAGGTTCAATACCAGATCATTCCCCACTTGTGTTAATGTCTCCAAGGTGAGGTTCAATACAAGATCATTCCCCACTGGTGTTAATGTGTCAAAGGTGAGGTTCAATACCAGATCATCTCCCACTAGTGTTAATGTGTCTTAGGTGAGGTTCAATACCAGATCATCCCCCACTAGTGTTAATGTGTCAAAGGTGAGGTTCAATACCAGATCATTCCCCACTTGTGTTAATGTCTCCAAGGTGAGGTTCAATACAAGATCATTCCCCACTAGTGTTAATGTCTCCAAGGTGAGGTTCAATACCAGATCATTCCCCACTAGTGTTAATGTCTCCAAGGTGAGGTTCAATACCAGATCATTCCCCACTGGTGTTAATGTCTCTAAGGTGAGGTTCAATACCAGATCATCCCCCATTAGAGTTAATGTCTCCAAGGTGAGGTTCAATACCAGTTCATCCCCAACTGGTGTCAATGTGTTCAAGATGAGGTTCAATACCAGATCATCCCCCACTGGTGTTAATGTGTCAAAGGTGAGGTTCAATACCAGATCATCCCCCACTGGTGTTAATGTGTCAAAGGTGAGGTTCAATACCAGATCATCCCCCACTAGTGTTAATGTCTCCAAGGTGGGGTTCAATACCAGATCATCCCCCACTAGTGTTAATGTCTCCAAGGTGGGGTTCAATACCAGATCATCTCCCACTAGTGTTAATGTCTCCAAGGTGAGGTTCAATACCAGATCATCCCCCACTAGTGTTAATGTCTCCAAGGTGAGGTTCAATACCAGATCATCTCCCACTAGTGTTAATGTCTCCAAGGTGAGGTTCAATACCAGATCATTCCCCACTAGTGTTAATGTCTCCAAGGTGAGGTTCAATACCAGATCATCTCCCACTAGTGTTAATGTCTCCAAGGTGAGGTTCAATACCAGATCATTCCCCACTAGTGTTAATGTCTCCAAGGTGGGGTTCAATACCAGATCATCTCCCACTAGTGTTAATGTCTCCAAGGTGAGGTTCAATACCAGATCATCCCCCACTAGTGTTAATGTCTCCAAGGTGAGGTTCAATACCAGATCATCTCCCACTAGTGTTAATGTCTCCAAGGTGAGGTTCAATACCAGATCATTCCCCACTAGTGTTAATGTCTCCAAGGTGAGGTTCAATACCAGATCATTCCCCACTGGTGTTAATGTCTCTAAGGTGAGGTTCAATACCAGATCATCCCCCATTAGAGTTAATGTCTCCAAGGTGAGGTTCAATACCAGTTCATCCCCAACTGGTGTCAATGTGTTCAAGATGAGGTTCAATACCAGATCATCCCCCACTGGTGTTAATGTGTCAAAGGTGAGGTTCAATACCAGATCATCCCCCACTAGTGTTAATGTCTCCAAGGTGGGGTTCAATACCAGATCATCTCCCACTAGTGTTAATGTCTCCAAGGTGAGGTTCAATACCAGATCATCTCCCACTAGTGTTAATGTGTCAAAGGTTAGGTTCAATACCAGATCATCTCCCACTAGTGTTAATGTCTCCAAGGTGAGGTTCAATACCAGATCATCCCCCACTGGTGTTAATGTCTCCAAGGTGAGGTTCAATACCAGATCATCCCCCACTAGTGTTAATGTGTTCAAGGTGAGGTTCAATACCAGATCATTCCCCACTAGTGTTAATGTCTCCAAGGTGAGGTTCAATACCAGATCATCCCCCACTAGTGTTAATGTCTCCAAGGTTAGGTTCAATACCAGATCATCCCCCACTGGTGTTAATGTCTCCAAGCTGAGGTTCAATACCAGATCATCCCCCACTGGTGTTAATGTCTCCAAGGTGAGGTTCAATACCAGATCATCCCCCACTAGTGTTAATGTCTCCAAGGTGAGGTTCAATACCAGATCATCCCCCACTAGTGTTAATGTCTCCAAGGTGAGGTTCAATACCAGATCATCCCCCACTAGTGTTAATGTCTCCAAGGTGAGGTTCAATACCAGATCATCCCCCACTAGTGTTAATGTCTCCAAGGTGAGGTTCAATACCAGATCATCCCCCACTTGTGTTAATGTCTCCAAGGTGAGGTTCAATACAAGATCATCTCCCACTAGTGTTAATGTCTCCAAGCTGAGGTTCAATACCAGATCATCCCCCACTAGTGTTAATGTCTCCAAGGTGAGGTTCAATACCAGATCATCCCCCACTAGTGTTAATGTCTCCAAGGTGAGGTTCAATACCAGATCATCCCCCACTAGTGTTAATGTCTCCAAGGTGAGGTTCAATACCAGATCATCCCCCACTTGTGTTAATGTCTCCAAGCTGAGGTTCAATACCAGATCATCCCCCACTAGTGTTAATGTCTCCAAGGTGAGGTTCAATACCAGATCATCCCCCACTAGTGTTAATGTCTCCAAGGTGAGGTTCAATACCAGATCATCCCCCACTAGTGTTAATGTCTCCAAGGTGAGGTTCAATACCAGATCATCCCCCACTAGTGTTAATGTCTCCAAGGGGAGGTTCAATACCAGATCATCCCCCACTGGTGTTAATGTCTCCAAGGTGAGGTTCAATACCAGATCATCCCCCACTAGTGTTAATGTCTCCAAGGGGAGGTTCAATACCAGATCATCCCCCACTGGTGTTAATGTCTCCAAGGTGAGGTTCAATACCAGATCATCCCCCACTAGTGTTAATGTCTCCAAGGTGAGGTTCAATACCAGATCATCCCCCACTAGTGTTAATGTCTCCAAGGTGAGGTTCAATACCAGATCATCCCCCACTAGTGTTAATGTCTCCAAGGTGAGGTTCAATACCAGATCATCCCCCACTAGTGTTAATGTCTCCAAGCTGAGGTTCAATACCAGATCATCCCCCACTAGTGTTAATGTCTCCAAGGTGAGGTTCAATACCAGATCATCTCCCACTAGTGTTAATGTCTCCAAGCTGAGGTTCAATACCAGATCATCCCCCACTAGTGTTAATGTCTCCAAGGTGAGGTTCAATACCAGTTCATCCCCAACTGGTGTCAATGTGTTCAAGGTGAGGCTCAATACCAGATCATCCCCCACTGGTGTTAATGTCTCATGGGTGAGCTTCAATACCAGATCATCCCCCACAAGTGTAAATGTCTCGAAGGTGAGGTTCAATACCAGATCATCCCCCACTAGTGTTAATGTCTCCAAGGTGAGGTTCAATACCAGATCATCCCCCACTTGTGTTAATGTCTCCAAGGTGAGGTTCAATACAAGATCATCCCCCACTTGTGTTAATGTCTCTAAGGTGAGGTTCAATACCAGATCATCTCCCACTAGTGTTAATGTCTCCAAGCTGAGGTTCAATACCAGATCATCCCCCACTAGTGTTAATGTCTCCAAGGTGAGGTTCAATACCAGTTCATCCCCAACTGGTGTCAATGTGTTCAAGGTGAGGCTCAATACCAGATCATCCCCCACTGGTGTTAATGTCTCATGGGTGAGCTTCAATACCAGATCATCCCCCACAAGTGTAAATGTCTCGAAGGTGAGGTTCAATACCAGATCATCCTCCACTTGTGTTAATGTCTCCAAGGTGGGGTTCAATACCAGATCATCCCCCACTGGTGTTTATGTATTGGAGAAAACACGCTCACGAGGTTTTGGTAGACAGAGCATGCCCTGGGGAGAGGGAAAAACCAAGGAGGCGAAACCCCCGCGGTTTTTCCCGAGCCCCAGGGCATGCTCCTTCAAAACCGAGGGAAAGTGTTTTTCCATGCTTATAAACCGAAAAATGAAACTTAAAACAACATTTATCAACATTTTTATGTTTCGAACATACTTTCCATGAACCTTATGAAACTCGCGTAAAATTTCTGTTGCTGGCGTACGGATCTTGAAAAGGACATTCTAAAAACCAGTGAGGCTTATCAACACCTCTGTAGCCTCGTGGTACACTCACTGGGCTACAGCTATGAAGGTTGCGAGTTCGATCCTCGGGAATATAAAGAAAACATTTGTCATTTGATTTTACATTTCATTACATGTCTGAACGGAAGTTATATTAATAAAATACCCAGGACATTTTTTAAATCCCAGGGACTTTACAACGTCCCTGTTTATGAGATTTAACCCGACTGGAAAGTAAACCTCACAATAGGTTTTAATGCCTACAGAAAGAAGTCTCTTACTTAATAGCGATCCCAATGAATAGGTTTATAAGAGTCCAGTAAGAGTAATGTTGTATTCATTTGGTCAAGTTAATGTTCTACAGGGATTTGTTTTCATAATCGGAAAACGCACACTTTAATACCCGCGTTATAGTTTTACTCTTTGAGATCACCTTGAAATGAAACATTAGAACACAATAACCTCAATCTCTGAAGATTGATAAGTAACTGTATCTATGGTCACCACGTTTTGAACCAAAAGCCCCATGGACCAAGGAATTAAGTGTTTCGTTAGGTTTGTCATGTGGAATAGTGGTGTACAAAGTTGTAAAACAAAATGTTTTGACCGAATTTAAACCTTGTTCATTTCGGACATTGTAAAAAGTCAAGCAAACCCTTTGAGGTTTTGAGAATTCACATGGAATTAATTCCACTTGTTCCAAATACTTTCTGTGAATATAGAGAGTGCACTTCCTTCTTTGTATTAAGGATTACATGTATGGTTAATCTTCGAGACAGGGATTCGGTGTGGCCACAGCAATATATCTCTCTTTGTACGTTTTAAGGAGCCTTGGAATCCAGTACAAAAGAGGAATAGACATGTCTTAAGGTTTTAGAGTCAAGTCAAAAAATGAAATTACTGATGTATGGTTTTGGCCGATTTCATCCTCAGTTAACATACTGGCTATGCGGCATAATTTGATATGTCACTAATACCAAGGTATGTAGTCAAACAGTTAGTGTGTTGAATAATCTAAACTGGATGACAATTAATATTTACATGTGATGGCTACATTATTGATGCCTTGTCAGCGGGAAGAACTACATACTGACCATATAGGGCAGACATACATTGGATGACAGCTGGCGGGGACAGAATTGGTTCATTCCGATTCTCCTTCCTATTTTTCAGTTGATGCATTCTACAAATGATAACATCACACACTGACTTACCCAACTCTGAGAGATTCTTCTTCTCTTTTGGCCCATTTTTGGGGCATATTTTTTTTTGTGTGTGTGTGTTTTTTGGTTGTTTAACGCCGCACTCAGCAATATTCCAGCTATATGACGGCGGTCTGTAAATAATCGAGTCTGGACCAGATAATCCAGTGATTGACATCATGAGCATCGATCCACGCAACTGGGTTGGTTGGTTGGTTGGTTGTTTAATGCCGCACTCAGCAATAGAATAGGTCTTCAGCAACCCATACTTGCCGTAAAAGGCGACTATGCTTGTCGTAAAAGGCGACTAACGGGATCGGGTGGTCGGCCTTGCTTACTTGGTTGATACATGTCATCGATCCAAATTGCGTGGATCGATGCTCATGATTTAAATCACTGGATTGTCTGGTCCAGACTCGATTATTTCACAGACCGCCGTCATATAGCTGGAATACTGCTGAGTGCGTCGTTAAACAACAAACCAACCTACCAACTTCCGTCCAATGATGCAGGTGTCCCGTATCCATTCTCATATCGATGAAACTAAGGCGATCGTTTCGTGTTGTTTTACAAGTGATAAACGACCTATCATTATTCTAGTGCTCTTGGAATAATACATGACACACCTGTAACTTATACATGAATTCGGTAGCAGATGCTGAAATACAAACCTCTACAAGGTACATGATGGAAATGCAAATACTGATCTAACAGCATTGCAAATACCGTTTACACATCCCATATAAGACACACGTCTCTACACTCGTCACAGAGCAGACATTGCTGGTTGCCAAGTGTTTGCTCCCGGTTGTTGGTAAAGTATTCAAACTTTCAGAATGATGATGATGCCAATTTCAGTTTGTGCTTGAACTTCGCTTATTTAAGTATGGCGTATATATGTCAGATGACACGTTTGATTCTTTTAAAATATTTTAACTCCGCACTCAGCAATATTCCAGCAATATGACGGCGGATCGTGTATTTAATCGCAACAATGCTTGTTGGAAGAGACGACTAACGGGATCGGGTGGTCAGGTTCGCTAATGTGTTTGATACATGTCATCGTATCCAAACTGCGTGGATCGATACTCATGGTGTCAATCGACCCGTGAAGATTCCGGGGTAGAATAGGTCTTCAGAAACCCATGCTTGCCGTAAAAGGTGACTATGCTTGTCGTGAAAGGCGACTAACGGGATCTGGTGGTCAGGCTCAGTCTGGTGGTCAGACTTGGTTGATGCATGTCATCGATCCCAATTGCGTGGATCGATGCTCATACCATTAATCACTGGATTGTCTGGTCCAGACTCCATTATTTACAGACCGCCGTCATATAGCTGGAATATTGCTGAGTGCGGCGTTAAACAACAAACCAAGCAACCAACCATGATGTCAATCAATAGATTGTCTAGTCCAGACTCGATTATTTACAGACCGGCGTCATATAGCTAGAATATTGCTGACTGCGGCGTTTACAACAAATGAAGTATTTAATCGGGTCTGGTCCATACGATCCAGTGATTGACATCATGAGCATCGATCTAAGCAATTGGGAAACGAAGACATGTATCAACCACATTAACGAACCTGACCGCCCGATCCAAACGTCTTGCCACAACCAGACATAAGACCCAACGATGATCAGATGATGGTGTGCCAAAGGGACACAACTCTGCACGGCGGATTTCAGCGGTTAAGAAGGCTGGTCACTTTGAAGCTGACATTAACTTCACAGTCAAGTAGTTTGCGAGGGAAATGTTCACTGATTCATGTGATCAAATTCAAATGAGTTTCTGCATTCAGTTAATGTTTTTGTTTCAGAATTAGACAGAATGATGTTGGGACTCGTCTTTCTTGTATCATGTGCGGTGGCTGGAATTTCAGGTAGGCTGTCAAATATATTTTGTATTTAATACAATTCCCTGAAATGTAGGAACTCACAGACAGATTTAAACATTGAAACAAAACCTGGTCCTAATTTCAGTACAGTAAACTACGGTTATAACGAACTCAAAGGGACTACTAATTTTAGTTCGTTATAACCGTAGTTCGTTTTAAGCACATATACAGCATAACTACAGCAAGTCGCCAGGACCAAAAAAGTAAGTTCGTTATAAGCGTATTCGTTATAACCGTAGTTTACTGTACTATAAATAGGGTCGCCACCGTTGTATTAAAAGAAAGACTGGCAGCTCACCGTTTCATCTGTCGGTGTTTCACAACGGGCGGTTTAGGCTTCTAAATTGGCTACGCCGACATTTGCTCGACGTTGTGTCCTTCCCCCAAATGTTCACGTAGGTTATCCACGTACTTTAAACATTTACGACCTGTTTTTGTTTGGTTTGCCTCCCACAATTCTCCGTGACCCGTTACGTTGTTAAAGCAGCCACAATTGCATTGGACCGACTCCGTGGTCTAGTGGTAGAGCGTCCGCCCGGAGAGCCCCGACCGCGTCATTCCAAAAGACGTTGAAAAACATGGTACTTGTTGTTACCCTGTCTGGCGCTCGGCATTAAGGGGCTAAAACAAGGACTGGTCGGCTCGGAGTCAGTATACTGTGTCTGAGTGGGGTATTCATGTTAAACTGCGGCATGGTATCTTAGTGGGCTAGCACTATAAATCGGCATCAGTCCGGACTAGTACAAGCAGCCACACACACACACACACACACACACACACGTCGCTATATAAGTGCAATAATCTTGGACGCGACGTTAAACCCCATTTCACCTCACCTCACCTCACAATTGCATTCTTCATTTCCCATACAGTCAGATGTTCTCCAGATGCAATATGTACTGAATACCCGTTTTGCATTACCTCATCGTCGTGTTGAGGTTTTACTTGTTCTGACCCGTGATGATCCTGGTTAGAAAAGGTCTTCAACAACCCATGCTTGCCGTAAAAGGTGACTATGCTTGTCGTAGGAGCCGACTAACAGGATCAGGTGGTCAGGCTCGCTGACTTGGTTGATGCATGTCATCGTATCTCATTTTCGTGGATCGATGCTCGTGATGTCAATCACTGAAATGTATCGTCCAGACCGTCGCCATATATAGCTGGAATAGTGCAGCCTTAAACAGCAAACAAACAAACCTTGTAGCTCGTTTTCTTTCTCCCCCTATTGCCATCAGGCTTAATGTATATAGGCACATGGCCAGTCTTAACACATATTGACCGGTACGTGTTTTCCCAGATTATGTCTGCAGCAACCCATACTTGCCGTAAAAGGCGACAAACAGGATCGGGTAGTCAGGGCCGCTGACTTGGTTGATGCATGTCATCAAATCCCACTTGCGTGGATCGTTGTTAATGATGTCAATCACTTGATTGTCTGGTCCAAACTTTATTATTTACAGACCGCCGTCATATAGTAATATTGCTGAGTGCGGCGTTGAAAAAACAAACAAACAAAAGCAAATCCCGGATAGGACACAACCCCAGAAGTACAAGAATTTGTACTTCACTAAGAAATTGTAATCCCAAATATAAGTATGTTATAAACTTACTGTATTCAAAATATAAATATACTTTTATGATGTTATGATTACAACAAACTGAAGACTTTTCAGACCTCCCAAAGTGCGACTGCAGAGGCTGACATTAGTGTTTTGACATGCACCGATAAGTGTTAATAGCTCCTATACCCAATGTCAAAAAGCCACTGTGGCCATACATTAAATGAGGGGGTGGACCCGTGAAGATTCCGGGGTAGAATAGGTCTTCAGCAACCCATGCTTGCCGTAAAAGGTGACTATGCTTGTCGTAAAAGGCGACTAACGGGATCGGGCGGTAAGGCTCGCTGACTTGGTTGATGCATGTCATTGATCCCAATTGCGTGGATCGATGCTCATGATATTAATCACTGGATTGTCTGGTTCAGACTCGATTATTTACCGACCGCCGTCATATAGCTTGAATATTGCTGAGTTCGGCGTTAAACAACAAACCAACAACAACAACAACAAAATGAGGGGCTGGTTGGGTTTGAGACATAATGAACATTAAATCTATAAGCTTTAGGTAACTCATTGGTTTTATTCCTCAGCTGACTGTTCTGATGGATATACAGAGATTGAAACCAAAATATGCACCAGAGAAGGCCTGGACAATGCCACTGGAAGCTCTCCACAAGCGTCTACAAACTATGGTGTGATGTGGTTACCAATTAGCATGTCTATATTTCCTTCCTTAACAATTATCTCAACAGTTATCTCTCGCCCCGTGAAGATCCGGGGTAGAATTGATCTTCAGCCACCCATGCTTTGTGACTTAGCTTGTCGTAAGAGGCGAATAACGGGATCGGGTGGATGGTTGATGAATGTCATCGTATCCCAACTGCGTAGATCGATGCGCAAAATACCAATCACAGGATTGTCTGGTCCATACTCGATTACATTCGTGGATCTATGACCTCACATGTGCTGCGTTCATTGTGAGTAAGTTAACATCTCATCGGCAATATTTCAGCCATATAGCGATGGAAACTAGGTATTAGATTTAAAATATCTGTCAACAAAGGACAGTAAAATAGTAAGGTATATCACAGTTTTTAATTAAAAAAACAGATCATAATTTAAACAAGGCTATAGACCACTTATAACCAAAGTTAAACCACCTTACTGGGGATCATGGGGACTTACAGTACCTATGCTTCCTGCATGACTACCCAGCAGGATTTATGCCATCACTTTGGCCACCAGTGGCTTTACCTTCTGCTAGCCAATATTAAAAAAGACACAAAACAATCTAAGTTTTAAAACACAAGTCAATATTACGTACCTTGATCGAGAATGGATTTATGTGTCACTAGCAGGAGGACAATATTTTAACACTACTTTAACCACTCGAGTGGCACCACATCAAGAATCTCAGTTGATGCTAATATTTAACTTATTTAAAATGCATATAAATTATTCAAATTTTATCTATGAGTTTATTTCTCTTGAAAAAGACACAAGAATTAAATTTAAGGAGTACTGACATTATTAAAAAAATCCTTTAAGGAAGATGAATGATAATATTTATCCCTTGTGAGAGAAAAATCGAACCAGTCAAGCAAAACATGCCTGACTGTGATTCTCTCATTACAAGCATCGGTTACCAGTATGTTCATTTGAACAATCGAATATCTCTTGAATGTGAATAAGTCCTCATTATTAACCAACATGTATGGTATTAACGTTTCTTTTGGCGGTGGGTATATCAGAGATTAATTCAGGTGAGATACAGAGTCTTGTTAGTCAATTTTCATTCATTGGCATATTGTTAAAAATACTATGTAGGAGGATTCGTACAACTTATAGATTTCTACAGCTTTATCCTGTTTGTGTTATCCATTATTTCTTGGTGTACATTATATTCAACCCGTGAAGATTCCGGGGTAGAATAGGTCTTCAGCAACCATGTTTGCCGTAAAAGGCGACTAACGGGATCGGGTGGTCAGGCTCGCTGACTTGGTTGATGCATGTCATCGATCCCAATTGCGTGGATCGATGCTCATGATGTCAATCACTGGATTGTCTGGTCCAGACTCGATTAATTTACAGACCACCGTCATAAAGCTGGAATATTGCGGCGTTAAACAACAAACCAACAAGCCAACATCCAACTACATTATATTCTATAAATAGTGGTGGTTTATATGTTATTTGAAGTTGAAGCTAATTTTACTTATCTATTTCACTCTTCAGCGTCCTGTCCTGCAGGGTTTCTGTTGTCCCTAAATCCCAGAATGTGCTTCATCATAAGTCCTCCAACGGACCGAAAGGACTTTGCCGCCGCCACTCAAAGGTGCGAACGGATGCGCAACGGTCGCCTCGTCGTCCTCAATGCTGAAGACAAGTATGGCTACATTGCTGGAATTATTTCTGTAATTGGACCCACTGGAAAAGCATTTGGTAAGTCCCACGTTAGGACTCTGGGCTAGAATACACCCCAAGAAACCTATGCTTGTGTCAGGCGGCTTAATGTATCTCAGGCCCGTGAACATCCGGGGTAGAAAACATCTTCAGCAACCCATGCTTGTAAAAGGCGACTGTGTTTGTTTCTAGGAGACAACTAACGGGATCGGGAGGTCAGACTCGCTGACTTGGTGGATGCATGTCATCGATCCCAATTGCGTGGATCGGTGCTCATAATAGCGGTGCAGCTTAATGTGGGAGGAAAGCCCGAAGTGATGCAGGTCTCAGACGTTTACCACTTCGGTGAAACCCACGAGCACGGGTATGTTGCTGACAAACCTAGAAACATAATCCGGGCGAACCGGGATTCGAACCCACAATCATAGGTTTCTGGCGTAATCAGGGACGCAACTCTGCACAGCGAACCGCGGCGCCTTAGACGACTGGGCCACCCGTGCCCCCTAAATCTACCCGAGCTCCAGTGGCTCATGTTTACGAGTAACATCATCAGTTTTTTTACTTATTATGCCAAAAAAGGTCAATGAACTCTCAGTTCTTCACCAACATAACCGAAAACAGGTGAATATATTTTCCAGAAAGGAAAACTAAGATTCATTCTGTAGAAATTGATTGTTTCCATCTGTTCGTGTAGCTCCTGGCATGAATGATTCTTCCTATATTTCAGGGTCAGTCGACGACGGTTTGTGGGTAGGTCTTAAGCGAGCCTCCCTGACACTGTTCAGGTGGAGCACGGGATCACCATATGTCTCCAACTGGGGGGTCGGGGAGCCGGAAAAGGTAATTGGAGAAGACTGTGGCCAGGTGTACCCCGGGGGAGTCAGAAACCGATTGTGCAACCTCCCACGCCGATACATCTGTGAGCTTGCCATATAACAGCCGCCACTTGTTCTGATGTCAATGACAGGCAACCTGTCTGTAATTAAAGCATACGTTGATTACGTTGACTGATAATAAAGTCACATGTGATAACAGCTTATGATGTCGTGTTGTGAAAATAAAACTGACCATTTCCTATTAAAACTGATGAATGTCAGTTGATTTCAAGACAGTTCCAGACAGTTTAAGCACATCTTCAAATCCTAACAGGTAACTAAAGTAAGAATTAATCCCCAGTTACCTATGCTTGTCGTAAGAGTGAGTGAGTGAGTGAGTTGGGTTTAACGCCGCTTTTAACAGTATTCCAGTTATATCGCGGCGTGTCAGCTTAATGTGGGAGGAAAGCCCGAAGTGATGCAGGTCTCAGACGTTTACCACTTCGGTGAAACCCACGAGCACGGGTATGGTGCTGACAAACCTAGAAACATAATCGGGGCGAACCGGGATTCGAACCCACAATCATAGGTTTCTGGCGTACCCAAGGGACGCAACTCTGCACAGCGAATCGCGGCGCTTTAGACGACTGGGCCACCCGTGCCCCCCGCTTGTCGTAAGAGGCCACTAAATGGATCTGGTGGTGGGGGTCGATGACTCAGTTGATTGCATGTCTCATCGTACCCCAGAGTTGTACATTGGTCATAATACCGAGCACTAGGTTGTATAGACCAGACTCAATTATTTACAGGCCGCCATTATAATGCCAGAATATTGCTGAATTATGTATAGAATTAAAAAATAGCAAACAAATAAACAGAAACCGTTTTTTAAAGTTCCTAAGCAACATTCTTAGATAAAATAAGTTTCCCTAAATATTTCAAATTTCAAGAACGTCCAAGAGTTCAATTTTCTTATACGAAAGCCACATCATCCAAGTTCCTCAATTGTGAAAATAAAGCGACAACACCCTTTCCAAATCCATTAGAAATCTCTGCATGAAGAGTCGATTAAACGATTCCGACTATATCAGGAGCATGCGTTAATGAATCACTATCAAATAGTGATGGTACCAGCTGTTCGGAAAAAAATCTGAGTGTATCCGGCACCCGTCACAAACACATGCAAAGGCAAGACAATTGTTCACCTGTATAAAACACGGGAAAATATGGTACAAGTCAAAATAAGGAATTGCATCGAACATCATTTTATCACTGATGCGTCAAATTTGGAAATGTCTAAAACTCTTCAACATGTCTACTCTAAAACCTTTTGAAAGCTTTACCGAGGCCTTGAATGTTATAAACTTTATAAAACAACTTTTAAGCAAGAGTCGTATGACGCTCTTTCAAATCTTGTATCTCAAAAGTTGTGGTTTGGTTTGGTTTGGTTTGGTTTGTTGTTTAACGCCGCACTCAGCAATATTCCAGCTATATGACGGCGGTCTGTAAATAATCGAATCTTGACCAGACAATTCAGTGATTGACAACATGAGCATCGATCCATGCAATTGGGACCGATGACATTCATAAACCAAGTCACCGAGCCTGACCACCCGATCCTGTTAGTCGCCTCTTACGACAAGCATAGTCACCTTTTACGGCAAGCATGGGTTGCTGAAGACCTATTCTACCCCTGATCTTCAGGGGCCTCAAAAGTTGTGAAAAGTACCAAAGTCTGGAGCTACTGGAATATTGCTTGACATGAAGGGAAAGTTGAAGTCATCTCTCTTGTCTTTTGGTTTGTTGTTTAACGCCGCACTCCAATATTCCAGCTATATGACGGCGGTCTGTAAATAATCGAGTCTGGACCAGACAATCCAGTGATTAATATCATTAGCACCAACCCACGCAATTGGGATCGATTACATGCATCAACCAAGTCAGCGAGCCTGACCACCCGATCCCGTTAGTCGCCTTTTACGGCATGCATGGGTTGCTGAAGACCTATTCTACCCCGGAATCTTCACGGGTCTCTCTTGTCACACATATTTGTGGAGAGTGTTTTGTCACTCTGAATCTTTAAGCACAGTTCTAATTATACAAATATGAAGCACATGAGGCGGTCTCACTGGTCTTCTTTATTTCTCGTTCAGGGTGGTAAATCAGTGGAAGGGAATTGCCTATTTGATAGTTATTGAACGATATCAGATCATCGATTTACCCGAAGCATAAGTTAAACTTCTTGGCCAAATTACCTTGTTTTCACTTTACCAATCCGAGCAGAAATTCAGATTCATATGCAAGAAGAAACAGATCTGCAAGAAGGGGAGCACAATTGTTGCCCATGGGGATGCCTACGTTTTGACTAAATGCCCCAAATGTTGTGATGTTATCAAAGAGGAAGTCCAGCATTTCACATACTGTTTTCTCAGTAAACTTCGGATTGCAATCATTGCATTCATTTTTAACAAATTGTCCCGAACCTCTGGATACGTAATGATCCGTGAAGATTCCGGGGTAGAATAGGTCTCAAGCAACCTATGCTTGTCGTAAAAGGCGATCAACTGGATCGGGTGGTCAGGCTCGCTGACTTGGTTGATGCATGTCATCGATCCCAATTGCGTGGACCGATGCTAATGATATCAATTACTGGATTGTCTGGTCCAGACTCGATTATTCACAGACCGCCGTCATATATCTGGAATAATGCTGAGTGCGGCGTTAAACAACAAACCAACCGACCAACCAACTGGATACGTAACTGTGTCTGTGTCACCAAGTTTCGTAACAAAAGCCCCGTGAATCAAGGAATGTAGGTTTTCCTTTAGTTTGTCATGCGGGATAGTGGTGTACAAACTTTAAAACCCAAATGTTTGGACAGATTAGAACTTGGTACTTTTCTAAGATTGCAAAAAAAGTCAACCAAATCCTTTTTTTTTTTAAAATCCACATGGTACTCACTCGTCTCAAATATTTTCTGTGATTAAAAAAAAAGACTTTCCTTAATTCATCCCCTTATAAGGAATTGTAAGTTAGATAACCAATCGCCTGTCGACGTCAAATGTTTCGTAATGTTTCGTTATGTTGATAATCCATGCAATTTCTTCATTTTGTTTTTAAAAGAGCATTAAATGTTTAGGAGAAATATATATCTCTTTTCGCTCAAGTTAACAGTCTATATTTTGTATGAATCAACTATTGCACATTGAGCGATTATCTCCTTTAACTGTAGGCGTAGTATATAGCTTTATCACGCACTGACCTTGCAGTGCTGTACATCGTATCTTGTTGTACCATTGAGAGTAAGTGATTATCTCCCTTACAGCTCTATTGCACACTGCCTTTGCAATGAATCGTATGTTATTGAATCAGCCAGCGAGAAAAGTTCCAGGAAGGAATTCAGGTCAAGCATGTAACCCGCACTCAATATTTCTCCCTTCACACAGCTATTGCAACGTATTGTTCAACACGATTAAATAGCAAGCTTCTATAAAGTAGGACTTTGTTCAATAAACAACACATGGAAAACAACGGGTTTGATTTGAGAAATTTGTAATTCGTTGTCTTCATAATCACATGTATGGTGCTTGCTGTGCATAGTTGAGCACAGTATTATTACAATTGGTTCATTCATGGGGCGGTTTACGGCTTATTGCTTTAACAGGTTTTTTTAACTTCCGGCACATATTATACATCCATATGTTCTTTGCTTCTCGATACGGTTGCTCTGTAGTTTGCAATCATTTTCCCTATCCGTGAAGATCCGGGTTAGAGTAGGTCTTCAGCAACCCATGCTTGCCGTAAAAGACGACTATGCTTGTAGTAAGAGACGACTAACGGGATCGGGTGGTCAGGCTCGCTGACTTGGTTGATGCATGTCATCGTATCTCAATTGTGTGGATCGATGCTCATGATGTCAATCACTGGATTGTCTGGTCCTGACACGATTATATACAGACCGCCGTCATACAGCTGGAATATTGCTGAGTGTTCAACAAAAAACGAACAAACAATCATGGTAGAATGGAGATATACCTACTGTGTTTTGAACATTGAATTGTTTATACATTTAAAAATTAAAATTACAATAAGCGGCATGTACTCTACAGTGGGATCATCAAATTTCAAATTCCATTCCTACCTTGATGTAGACCCCACGCTTACCTAACAAAAGAAATTCGAAACAAATCCTTTGGTTTAACAACAAGCATACAACCAATTGAGAACAAAATATAATTCTCACAGGTCCATTTTTACAGATGGGTCCAAGGATGGATCCTGAACTGTCTCCTCAAGAATACCAGATACTAGTTCAATCTTTACGGCTGAGGCCAAAGCAATTATAACAGTTTTTACATACACGCTTTAAAAAAAAGACTTCACAAAAAGTCCGGAATATAAATTGGATATATAGTATTGGAAAATGTTGGTGGCCTGATATACGACAAACAGTGCGTCAAAACTCAGCCATTGTCGATATGCAATGTCTTAAACGTCATTGTTTTCACGCTTGTTGAAAAATGTCATAGAGGAAAACAGTAAAGCAAAATACACGTGCAAGTTAAGGAACGGAAAATGCACAGAAAATGCTCGGAAGATCGCTATAGGACGTATCCAAAGAGGGAATTGTAGTCTTCTGTTGCACGCCACTTCAACGTCCACCACATCACCATTTGCACCCGTGAAGATCCGGGATAGAATAGATCTTCAGCACCCCAAGCTTGCCGTAAAAGGCCACTAACGGGATCGGGTGGTCAGGCTCGCTTGACTTGGTTGATACATGTCATCGATCCCAATTGCGTGGATCGATGCTCATGATATCAATCACTGGATTGTCTGGTCCAGACTCGATTATTTACAGACCGCCGTCATATAGCTGGAATATTGCTGAGTGCGGCGTTAACCAACCAACCAACCAACCAACCAACCATTTACCGCCTTTGTTACCGATACACAGAGTTCAATTCCACTGCAGACCGTCCGAGAACTGGCCGACCAAAAGTTACCACCCCTGCACAGGATCGCTACAATCGACTGTTCCACCTACGTAATCGCAATGCCACAGCTACGGAGACTGTCAAGAACCATATTCGCGAGGCTGGAATCCGACCCAGAAGTCCAGTTATCGTCCCTGTTTTGCAACAGATCCATCGACAGCAACGCATGCGTTGGTACAATATCTTACAGCCTTGGAATTTGAGAAAACTGGAGACGATGAATCA